AATGAGATAGTTGGTTAAATTTTCTGCGGACCAAAATTATCCGTAGCAAAAAAATTATAACTTTTATTTTAAGAAACAACTTTATTTTTCACGGAAAGAGGACAATGATATGTTGCCCCGGTGTACGGTATGTTCAAATGCGGCCCCGGCGACTGCCAAATATCACGCACGTGTAATAGTGTGATGGCTGTTTTTACTCGGATTGTTCGATAGTTAGTGTCGGTCTGTTTATCGCGCGTGTAGACGGTTTATGGTCGCGGCAGTTTCGTTAAGTCAAAATCGAAATTAAATACCCATCGTACAGTATAAATAGTGCAATTTCGGAGCGGATATTCTCAACGTACCGCTGTTCGCATTTTACACGTATTCGGCGTGACGTGTAAACTCGCGAGCATTGCAGGTAGGTATACCTACCTGTCCTATCCCAGAACGCCGAGTGCCAAAACGCACGGCCGTGCGTTCGTTGTTGCCAATATGCGCTTTAAACCGCCGCGTTTAAAATGCACGGTCCATCGTGTTCACAGTCGAATATCCTTTCACTCGTATGGACAGGAAAAAAAAAAAAAAAAAATGTTTCTTATACTCGGTTTCGGGTCGTTCGCCGATTAGAATACCAAATGCGAAAGATAATAAGCGTTATAATAGCAAAAAAACGTTTCGTTTTAATAACCGCTGCGGCGTTGGTACGGCGTGGGCGATAATCCGATTCCGAAACCGCGATCTGTGTTCGTTATTTTTTTGTCTTCTTCCAGATCCCTCGCCAGACGCAATTTTCGCGGCGAAAAAAAAAACATACATATGAAATTCATGAATGTTTATTGAAAATGTTTTTAGCGCCTATGAGGATTTTTGTAATATTTATATTCACGTATTGTTTTGTAACGAACCGCGATAGAACACGCACGAATTCTCAGATTTGTATTTTATTTTAATCTTTGTTTGTTTTTTTTTTTTTTCAACTATACTATTTTTTGAGATTTCATTTACATGTAATATATATAAACACCTATAATACCATTAGGTATTATGCATTATAGGTATACATATTTTTCGCGTTTAAATCTACACAATAAGGCGACACTCACGGTGTTCGGCCGCAGGTAGGTATATAATTGCATTGTGACGGATTTGACATTAACACTACCCCGCAGCAGCCTCGTGCATACCTACCTACGTGCATACCTACCTACGTGCACATACGTACTTAAATAATTTGCCACCCTCCGCTCGTATACATAAATAAATTCACGAAGCTACGCAGTTTTCCGAACAATTAAAAATGTAAAAAGTACCTCTGTATTTTTGTTTAATCTTTTTTACACGCGGGGATTTTTTTTTTTCGTTCGTTTTAATTTCTCGTAAATAACACAAAAGTCAAAACGAAAACAAATTATCGAAACAGAAAAAAAAACTACAGCGTAAACTAATAATGTAAAATATAATACACCTACACGATGTTTGATGAAAACGTTCAACATTTATGTATAACATAACAACATTTTACTCGTTTTATAAAAACGAGTATTGTCCTGATATTATTTATTACAAATATAATACATGAACAACATGTATCATTACGTTTACACAAATAATTGGGGGGGAGCGTTGGAGATGGTATATCGTTCGGTAGTCTGAAGAATCCTACGATCAACTCTATACAACATTCTATAAAAGCCGAAAATACTTTTATAGAAAAAACTCAATCAATTAGATTTTGAATACAACAAAGGTCAAAGAAGCTATTGGTTTTACTAATTGCTTTATTTTGATCTCGGAAAACACTTTTTTTGGTCTTTAAAAATGCCCCGATATTTTCATGTTGTACTTCGAAAATTACTGTAATAAATTGTAAATAACTTTTCTACCAGAAATCTTGTTCTTTTCAAAAACTCAATAGAATTTGATCTTGTTGGAGACGTTGGTGCTTAAAGGAGGTAATTTTTTGGTTTTATTTGGAGTTTTTTAATAAATGGGAAAACCTGGCAATTTTATGTATAATTTTTGTTGATTTCTGGCCTATTGCGTTTTTCGTCAGCAAAACGATTTATCGTTGGGTACAGTACAAAATAAATGACTCCATACATTTTTCGTTCAAAATTCCCCCCTAAAACAGTTGCCCACACACCAGCCGTATATCAACCTTTTATTTACTTTACGTTGTTCGATATCGTTTTTGAGAAAATGTTTGCACAAGGTCGATAAATTATTTCATTGTAATTATTATACATTTAGAATCGTAACCATATTGGGTATGGCGGATAAATAATATACTCAGGAAAGAGTCAAAATATAAGTGCGCAAACACACGTCATATTAATATAATAATGAATAAATCATTAAAAAAAAAAAAACAGTTTTCTATATTGGTATATTGGATTTTCAGTCAATAGTACCTGTAATAACTTTAGTTGTCTTCGAACGGTTTGTTTGTTATTTAAACGGCCCGTAATGCACGTTGGCGGTACAAATAGGTAAGGCATTGAACCACACCGAAGTCCGCATCAGTAAATATGATGATTGATTGCTATGAAGCATATTGTAGATAGACAACAAACATATAGCAAATAGCTCAATACTCACAATAATGATCGGCCATTAATATCGAAATATTAACGACGCAATAATGATTAACACTAATAGATAAAGTGCGATTTTTGTTTTTACCATGATCCAGCGGTTATCTACGAACATTTTGAGTGTACGATGGTATTTTTGTATTTGTTCAGTCACGATTTTATTGACAATATTTTCAAAATTGTTCCCCTCATTGTTTCGTGCATATTAAAATTAAACGCATACATATATACCTAGCAACTTTTGTTTTCCACAGGGAGGGTCGCTATTTGAAAATGAAACGTTAATGACTATGTGTTTATGGTATACGGAATTAGCGTACCATTTTATTGTAAATATTTACTTGAATAATTAATACTGATTTAAGATATAAAGAGACCGGTGACAAGCATTTGATAATAGAGTTGAAATAAAGCCTAAACAATGCAATAATGATAGAAAAAAAAAAAAAAAACTTGCAATCAAATTTACTTATGATTCTCCGAGAAAATCGTTGGATTACGATAGATAAAATACACACTGCATGTGTATTGCGGTGTACGTGGCAATACTAAAATCATTTTCAAATATTACATTTTTACATACCGAAAAATAATTAGGTAATCATTTTTTTAAATACGTATTTACTCAAAATATCATTACTTTGAAGGTCATCGACGCGCGCGCATACAATACAATTGAACCGACCGAGCGTATAGAGCATCGTTTTGGCGCGTAGTACTTAGGCTACATTAAGCATTCCGTTGAACTTTGATAATGACAGCACGCGTGTGTTGACATATCGTTACTTTTGCTGAGTAAAGTAATCGTCACGCAGAGAAGAAAACGATAAAACGTACCCAGTGCAAAAACTGCTGCAATTACGCGTAAAAAACACTTAAAAACAATATTCGTACACGCGAAAAAAAAAAAAAACAAAAAAAACAACACCAGACGACGTTGTTATACAACGGGCAGGAGGTGCCGCTACCAATAATAACGACCGCACTGCAGACGTCGTCGAAACAAACGGTGGGAAAAGAATTATATTTTATGGGAACCTATAATATAGGTACGGACATGATGGCAGTTTGCACACACCGCGATCATTTTATAGATATGTATACCTAAATGTTCATATCTAATGTGAACAGATTTGAAGACTTGACATCGGCAATGGGTTAAACGCCAAAAAGATTTTTGATTTTGAGTTATTCCCGTTAAAACCTCACCGGCGGCCCCGGCACGTAGCTCTCACGTCATTTTGTTGGGCTTTGTACACACATTACCATTATGGTCGTGGCACATAGCGCTCTTTATAGGTTGTTGGCGATGGTACACAGCTCAGTTGTTTTGGTCTAACTCAATTTTTTTTTTTCCGAGGCACTTGGCCCGGTATTGAATTCAAGTTTTCATTTATGGAATTAATTTAAACGAGTTTAACGATTGGAGCGAGCACACTGGATCCGTTCAGTTCAGTTAAGCCACCGCGCGATACCTTCGTTGAGTTGATAATCGTGTAAAAACATAACGCTACCATAGCGCTCACTACATCCGTTCGGTTCAGGTTACGAACCTTCCGTCTGGAATTGGATCGGGGTGGGGTAGGGGGTCTGGAGCGGGCCGTAAGTAGAAGAAACCACAATGTTTTGTCACGTTATTTGTCTATATTAATGTATTTTTAGCATTAAAATATATCGCTGCCGATGTACGTTTTGCTATTCGATTATTATTTATGTATTATTAGAAATCACTTGTTCATAAAATAATGGATTGTCTTAAAATACATGTGCCTCTTGAATTGAAATAATACATTGGACCGCGTAATATGTAGTAGTCAATTTCCTGTCAACAATACTAAAATATTCAAATATGCATTTTAAATGTACTGCGAATCCAAATCTGACTTAATCTGAATAAAAAAAAAAAATATTAGTCTTGTCAAGAGTTCGTCAAAATGTACTTGTATGGTGAAACATGTGTGATTGATGCAATTTTCGGGTTTTTTTGATTTATGTAAGTATAATTTTTTTTTGCATTGCTTAGTAAAAAGTACGTACATTTGATACAAAGTTGTCACGAGTTTTTCTTATTGCTAAAAGAAAAAAAAAAGTTTAGCTTAATGACAATATTAGATTCTGAGTGGAACGGGGAATGTATTTGTTTTGCAACGATGTTTAGTTTTCTTTTGCGTGAACGCTATTTTTACCAGAAAGCATATTCCGATTATCAAGTATAGCACTTTTTCAGAAAGGAAATTTTCTCTGAGTGGTACTTTAAAGAAGTAATTTTTTGAAATTCTGATTAATATTCGAGATAATGAGGAAACCTCGGTGTTTAGGTTAAAAAATATTGAAAGATAAAAAATAAGGTTGTCATTGGCAACCGTTTTTATTTATTTTTGTTACTATTAAGTTTTTACTACTTTAATCTTTTTTAAACAATCACTGTTGTCATGGAAACGCACATTGTTTTAATTATTTTGCCATTATATGACATAATACCATGTATTTTGTAGTATTGTTGACAAAGCAGCATTATCAACTAAACTCGGCTCAGATTCATTTTTTCGTTAGCAATGGTTTATCGTTGCTTACAGATATGCATTGAATTCCTGTCTGTAGCCTACCTTTTTAACTTCCTACCTACAACAGTGACTGCATCCATCTGCTAAGTATGTCCGTTCTTATTTTTAAGTCCCAATGTTTGAAACCTTTGTATGGGGATACAACCTACCCACAAGCTGTTGATTATACTCTGATGTCAATGTCTACGCACGTTTTTACGGTAAAACATATATTTCATATGATAAGTGTATTAATGACTACATTCTATCCTAAACTTTCTATCCTACACCAAAAAGGTACGGTGCCGCTTCTTTTTTTTTTGGAACTCGTCTCGGATATTGAGTAGTTTATTATATAATAGTACAATTTACAAATAGTATAAATGAAACGTGGCCCGTTAAATTGTGTAAACAAAGTCAATACGATTTTCACACGATGAAAGAATCGTTAGCAAAATGATTATATTATAAACTGCGATCTGATTTTACATACGCTTAAAATAAAATGCTGGTAAATGAAAAAAAAAAAAAAACCTATTTAAAATTGTTCTACGAATTACTCGATTACGACATAACTAAGACCTACACCCCGGCATGGTCGGTAATAAAACGTAAAATTTAAATAATTGTGATAAATGCGCATTAAATCGAGTATAGGAGGTAACAGCGTATACAATAATACGAGTAGTTATATATTATTATAACGTTTAACATAAAATTCCACTTGCATTCCGATTATGCACTCGGTATAAACAATGCATTTTGCGAGTATTTAATTCATTTATACAGTCAATTATGTATACAGCAGCAGAATAATGGAATAGGTATACAGTGAAATTATTCAACGTAAAATATATACGAATAAACCATTCTAACAACACTGCAGTAGATGTACTTGCGGTGTTTTATACTTACCGCAAAAAAGTCAATACGTTTTCTTAGCAATAAAAATTAATAATAATATTACAACGAGCTAATAATATACATACAAGTAGATAATATACGGAAACGGTTATTACGATACCAGATACTACTTGCATCGTAACAATACTAACAACAAATATCATAATCATTATCATAAATTATTGTCTCACAACTCTGTAAGAAGTTAAGCCGCCACTGCCACTGTCCTCCAATAATCACGGTCCTGGATCTTTTTCTCCAATTCCGTCACTCTTCAGATCTTGCTGTATTCCGTCCATCCACCGATTTTTCGTTTTGCCTCCTTCTTTATTGCTTCTATTTGGTTGTTTGCTCTAAATTTGATTGTTTCACACTTACGGATGGCGTACTCCTAGCTATTGTTAATTATCTTTCCTTTTACATTTATTTTATTATACCTTCGTCTTATCCCTTATTTCAACGATTTTCCTTTTCCGGCAGCACTATCGAAAACTAGTCCGCGTATTTTATTCTTATAGCATCTTATATATTGTATTCTCATAATATTAGCTTTATTATCCTATACATAATTTCAACGCGGCCGTAGTACGTTTGTATGTATTTTGAGATTTTTATCTGTAAAAATGTTAAACACTTATGGGCATATAACACATAACACGTTCGGGATAAAACGCGATAATTGAGGAAATCCGTACCAGCAAATTGAATATCCCATGGAAATTTTGTATAATTATACTATACGAATACATCCGATGACCTACCACCCGACGTGGTTTTTCCATTCCTTCTAGACACTGCTCAATCTAAACCTGTCGCGGTTTTTTACCAGCAGTATCGGGTTTGAATCGACAGATTAAATCGATTAAAACGATTTGATGTTTCATGCATAAATGTAACATATCATTATATTGATTACATTTTTGTTCTTTGGTGCGTTGAATGTTCATACTTATATAATATGTAAGATGTGTAATTAATTTGATAAAGGCATAAAGTAGAGTTAAGCTATTATGACCATGTTAAAAAATAAAATAAACCACAGGATAAAATAAAATAATAGTTTTTTTTTTTTTTTTTGTTAATTTTTCATAATAATGTTTATATATTATTAACTATTTTAAACACACTCGTATATTATGGATGTATTATCGCCAGTATCGATTCTTATGGTTATTATTTTACATAAATACAATCAATTGCAAAAAATTGCATTAATAGTAACGAATTTTTTTTGTAATAAAATACAATTATAATCCGCATGTTAAAATTATAAAATGTTTATATTTAGTTAAATAAAATAGGAATTAATACGGAATAATTTACATCAAAATAAAACAAAATGGGGAAAAAATCGTCCCCGAAAAAAGATCGTCGGTACAACAAGACCCAAAGCTGAATATTATTACAAGACACGATAATATTATAGGTACGTATAAGTATATGTACGTTTATTTTATAAATTTACGTATATGTAATACACGTACGTTCAAGATAAAATGTATAGAAACCTGACGAAAACAACTATTAGCGCCTACAGTAATTTACATTAAGAACCATACGTTGTATAAATATTCGAAACAATGTTATTATAAGTAATAAATCTCGTTAAGTTAGGATATAGTTAAAATATTAATATACTATACTTAGTAAACTTCTGCTTCACTAGGCACAGAGTGTAGTCGATCATAAACTCGTGATTATCAATAACAATGTTCAAAATATTCGTAAAATTATTAAAAACTATATATGTCTATTTTTGGGATCAGTTAGGAATGCGATTGATACCATTATGTGACGTAGGCAAAACAAAACGGTTGAGTAATATTATCGTAAATGGCCAAAAACTTGATATTCGTGTTTCTATGGTATCCACCTAATAAAGTATCGGACTTTTTAAAAGTTATTTGCAGGCAGAAAAAATAACACTTTACCTCCCCCCCCTCCGTCCAGTTCTTACCCCACTGTGTAACGCTATGTGGGACAAATATCTGGCCTTTATATTACATATAAACATTTATTTTGTGTACATTTAAATGTACATATGATATTGTTAAGTTGATTACATTTTTGTTCTTGTATGCGTTGAACGTTCTTACATGTATAATATTTTAAAAATATAATTAATTTGATAATGGCATGAAGAAGAGTTAAGCTCCTGTGACCATTCAAAAAAAAAAAAATAATAATAATAATAATAAAACACAAAATAATTTCAGTAATTAATGTATAGTTTTTTTTTTTTGTAAATTGTTCATAATGATGTTTATATATTATTAAATATTTGAAATACACTCATATATCTTAGTTGTATTTACACCAGTATCGATTCTTATGGTTATTATTTTACATAAGTACAATCAATAGCCATAAATGTCATTAATTATAACGAATATTTTTGTAATAAAATACAATTTTAATGATTATGTTAGAACTATAAAATATTTATATATAGTTAAATAAAATAGAAAATAATATGGAATAATTGACATCAACATAAAATAAAACGGGGTATAAAGCAAACTCCGAAAGAAGTTCGTCCGTACAACATGACACAAAGCTGAATATTATTATACGACACAATAATATTATAGGTACGTATAAGTATATGTACGTTTATTTTATAAATTTACGTATATATAATACAGGTTCGTTCAAGATAAAATGTATAGAAACCTAACGAAAACAACTATAAGCGACTACAGTAATTTACATTAAGAACCAAACGTTGTGTAAATATTCGAAACAAAGTTATTATAAGTATTAAATCTCGTTAAGTTAGGATATAGTTAAAATATTAATATACCATACTTAGTTAACTTCTGCTTCACTAGGCACAGAGTGTAGTCGATCAAAAATTCGTGTTTATCAATAACAATGTTCAAAATATTCGTAAAATTATTAAAAACTACATATGTCTCTTCTGGGATCAGTTAGGAATGCGATTGATACCATTATTTGACGTAGCCAAAACAAAACGGTTAAGTAATATTATCGTAAATGGCCAATAACTTGATATTCGTGTTTCTATGGTATCCACCTAATAAAGTATCGGACAAAGACTTATAACGAACACGATTACGAAACTAAATATATATTTTCTACTTGCATATTATATTTTTTTAAATATATATAAACACTGGTAGTAAAATATACATAAGTTTGAAGTCGAATTGTTTGCAACGATATGAATAGACGAGAACCATCGCTATTTACAATGAATGCGGCAGAAGTCGGTTTCGGATTCGCCAAGCTTTATTACGCTACTTTAAGTACCAAACCCGAGAACGCATACTTGTTTTACGACGAGCTCGGCAACTACCTAACTATATACGAAGATGGCACCTCTATCCAAGCCAAAAGCTGGAAAGAAATAAACAGCATCCTGATGAGGCCCTTAACCACATCGGATATATTCGTTAAATCGATTACTTCAGAAGCCCGTGGTGGTTCGTTGGACAACCTACTAATTACGGTGACTGGTGAACGTTTCAAGCATGTATTTATAGCGAATCGCCGTCCGAAGCGGGGAATACGTTATGCAATTGTGAGATCTGTGAAACAATATTTTCCTCTAAACCAACCAATACAGGTAGCAGCTTTCGATGTAAGTGACAATATTGTTAAGAATACTGACGATCACGAGCCGGCACAAAAGAAACAAGTAAAATTTTCGGATGATATCGTCAACTACCTTAATCCTTCTCGTAATGCCATTATGAATAACAATCATAATATTATGACGTCCGTGAAAAACCCACCGAAGACCATTCTAAAACGAGTAACCGGTTCTACTGAAATTGCCACCACAACCAAACTTTCTCCCGATACCATGAATAATGACGCATACCACGAAATAACCGCCATTAAAACTTCGATAAGCTTTGAGACGAGTGCGACTGAAGCAGGCAACAGATTTACCCAGCTATATAATGCTACTTTAAGCACTAGGCCTAAGAACGCGTACTTATTTTATGACGAGTTCTGTGACTACAGAACGATATACGAAGACGGCACCTGCGTCATAGCTAAGAACTGGAAAGAAATTAATAGTACTCTGTTAAGTTCTACGAACTTATCTGATATTTTCTTCAGATCGATTACTTCGGAACCCCGTGATGGTTCGTTGGACAAACTGCTAATTACAGTGACTGGTGCACGTTTCAAGCATGTATTTATCGCGAATCGCCGTCCGAAACAGGGACTACGTTACGCTATAGTGAGGTCTGTGAAGCAATATATTCCTCTTAACCAACCAACACAGGTAACAACATTCAATGTGGGTGACAATATTGCCGAGAATACTAACGATCACGAGTCAGAACAAAAGAATCAAGAAAACATTTCAGATGGTATCGTCAATTACGTTCATCCTTCTCGTAATGCCGTTATGAATAACAATCAAAGTACTATTACAACCGTGAAAAACCTACCGAAGACTATTCTAAAACAAGTAACCGGTTCTACCGAAATTGCCACCACAACCAAACTTTCTCTTGATACCATGAATAATGACGCATACCACGAAATAACCGCCATTAAAACTTCGATAAGCTTTGGGACGAGTGCGACTGAAGCAGGCAACAGATTTGCCCAGCTATATAACGCTACTTTAAGCACTAAGCCTAAAAACGCGTACTTATTTTATGACGAGTTCTGTGACTACAGAACGATATACGAAGACGGCACCTGCGTCATAGCTAAGAACTGGAAAGAAATTAATAGTACTCTGTTAAGTTCAACGAACCTATCAGATATTTTCTTCAGATCGATTACTTCGGAACCCCGTGATGGTTCGTTGGACAAACTGCTAATTACAGTGACTGGTGCACGTTTCAAGCATGTATTTATCGCGAATCGCCGTCCGAAACGGGGACTACGTTACGCTATAGTGAGGTCTATGAAGCAATATTTCCCTACAGACCACCCGACGCAGGTTAAAGCTTTCGCTGCGGGTGACAATATTGCTCAGAATACTTACAATCAAGAAACGGCAGGAAAGAAACAAGGAAACATTTCGGATGATATTGCCGAATACAAGAAACCTTCTTTTAATGCCGTTAATATTAACACTTATAATGCTATTACAACCGTCAAAAACCCACCGAAGGGTATTTTAAAACGTGTAACCAGATCTACCGAAATCGCTACCACTTCCAAACCGTCTCGTGATACCGTTAATAATGACGCAAATCACGAAATAACCGCAAATAACAATTCGATTGGTGTTATGACGAGTGCGACCGAGGTAGGCTTTAAATTTGTCCAGCGCTATTATGCCACTTTAAGCACTAAAAAGGATCTCGCGTACTTGTTTTATGAAGAGCACGGTGAATACCAAACGATATACGAAGATGGCACATCCGTCCTAGCCAAGAACTGGGAAGAAATAAATAGCGTCATTTTGAGTCCTGTAACATTTTCTGATATATTCGTCAGATCGATTACTACGGAATTCTATGGTGGATCGTTGGAAAACCTCTTAATTACGGTGATCGGTATGCAGTTCAAACATGTATTTATCGCGCACTACTGTCCGAATCGGGAACTAAATTACGTCATAGTGAAGTCCAAGAAGCAATATTTTCTTTCAGACCACACGACGCAGATAGAAAATTCCGCTGCGGGTGACATTTATGCTTACAATAGTTTATAAATATTTGTAAATTGGTATTTGTTTGTTATAATTTATAGACCCACCTACGAAATTATGAAACCAAAATAATATTGTGTACAGATATAAATCATATAGAAAATTTTATTTTTGGAGAGCCTAGTCTGAAGAAAATTGAAATATTACAAGGATCATGACAAAAGTATTTTAGATATTGTAGAGAAATTCAGCAAAATGCCAGCCATTCTGAAGTATTCGAGATGAGTGGCAGATATTCTTAAATTTTAGGTTTATAATTTTTTTTTGTAATTTTTATACAAAATGTAAACTATATTCCATTAAAATAGGTGCAAATTATAATGAATCAAATATTTTTTTATAACAGTATTATTGAAGTATTTATTTATTTATTCGGAAATATTTTTACAGATAACTGTTTTTTCTATGTAGGTTTATCCGACAAAAATATAATTTTACTTATTTTAGATTCTTAGTACAACGGAATGTATAATTGTAATACTATGATAGTATTTTCGAATCAATAGAATTGTTCGTTAAGTTTTGCCCTTTACATTTTCGTTACGGGCATAATCTATAACTAGCCATTTGACTTATTCTCCGAAAAATTAAATATATTTTAGCAGGTCCTCGGTCCGATACATTTAAATTATCGAAAATTCTAGATAATAGAAAAAAACGAAATTTCCACCAGGAATCATTCTTAAAAAAAAAAAATATCTATAGATCGTTCAACCCTATTGAACTTTTAAACGTTATTCAAACATGCTCTTATTTTCAATATATTATTTTTACTAAACTTTCAAAATCGTAAGTATGTAATTTAATACCTCATTTTCCTCAAAAACTGACGACGGCGTGAAAAAGACTGGAAGTTCATTTAGAAAAAACACACATAAAATTTTAACTAAGATATAGGTACGAGATTGATCCATCCGCGATGACACGGAACACAAATATCTTCTTTTGTATCGGTTTAAAACATTCAACTGTATAGACTTTTTACGGTAAGGTTAGGTTAGGTCCCTATACTATAGAAAAATCGTTGAAATCTCTTAAATTATTATAGATGTTCAGTCGAAAACGCATGAAGACGTTCAGGAGCCACACTGTAAGGAAGAAAAAAAGTCGTCCTCGTAATATATAATATACCGTCAAAGTGTAGGTTAGGTTAAACTTGAGCTGATTTCAGTAAACTGATCCGATATAGATATTATATTTTACGAAAAAATTCAATGACACTACGTCATATAACTGGTGTGTGATTTTTTTTTTTTTATAAATTGTGTAGTAAAATATACATAAGTTTGAAGTCGAATTGTTTGCAACGATATTAATAGACGAGAACCATCGCTATTTACAATGAGTGCGGCAGAAGCCGGTTTCGGCTGTAGGATTTCTTACTGCCAAGAAATGGATTGTTTCAAAACGTTGTATTAATTTGTACCCAAACGTTTTGTATTTCGGACTGAGAACAAGAAATCAATCGTAATGAAAATGTCCAAAAAATGTGTATAGAAAACTGTGTAATATTTAGGTTACTATTTACGTTAAATATTGAAATTATCGTGTGTCACCTCTTGGTGACTTATTTCAAAGGTATAAATAAGATGCGAAGACGACTAACGTCGTCTATAATGCGTTGTATTGTTAGTTGTTACTTAATAGAACAAACTCAAACAATAAGATATTTTAATAATTATATTTTATTGTTTCTCAATGTTTCATACCCATCGAATTAAAAATCGAGGTTTATTGTGCTAACATTATACGTTTCGAATTACAGTTTTACAGCTGATATTGTTAACGACAAGAACACAATAATATGAAAACTACGACAGCATTTTTCGAGAATCGAAAATACCGTTACAAATATACAAAATATACGATAGTTCTATACCTACAGTAAATATTAACAACGAAAACATAATATTAACACAAAATATACCATGCAACGAAGTCAATATATTCAATATTAGTTTAACTAATTTCGTCGTTGTGTATAAAGCGTTTCGAAAAGATTTATTATATAAAAAAAAAAAAAAAGCGCGGTCCTTTTAAAATCGTGTTACCTATTGCGTGTTCATCTAAAACAAATAATCGATCAAAACAGTTGGTTTGAAACACACACACAAAAAAAAAAAAAAAAAAAAAAATTATAACAATAATGGTTTGAACTACAAACAAATACCAAATTAAAATGTATTTATTTTTAACGCGCGTTAATAAATAATTATGAAAAACTACTGATTTTCGACTCATCTATCCATTGAAATAATATATATACATCGCTGTAAAATCATTATATCGGTCCTTCGTTTTTGCACCGAAAGACCAATGCGATCTCGAAACGAAATTATTCACATCGATAAACCGCGGTGTACTATAATATATACAAATACCAAGGCATATTAGATCACACGAGATGTATAAGATGTATTAGCAAGAACGCAACAAGGTTGTGGTTAAAAACAGAATATACGTTGTAGCGAACAGTAAACATTATGCCTGTGCCTAAAAAAAAAAAAAAAAAAAAAATAGGTTATTTTATTTTGTGTATTTTTTCGGAAACCATGTATATCGGTCGAAACAATAAACACGCGCTTAAGAAAAATAATCGGTTATACCGTACATTAAAAGTTGATAAAAGAAAAAAATAGAAATTATAGCGTTGGCTTGAAAACCTTTAAAATCGTATCGTTTATTCGTTGGCCTTTTACAATTTTAAGTAGAAATATATTAATGTATTTGATATTAAATTCGGTTTTTCTCTCTTCGCCTTAGCGCCCATTTGTGATTATTATTCGTACCGTCTTCCAACTCCTTTGAATAATTAATAAACGAAACAAATGCGCCAGGTTTTACACGTCATATTATTATTATATATGCGGTTATTTTTGATTTCGGGAATGTTAATAATAAACAAAACTCCTGGATATTTCGAGTGAAAGTCGCAACGTAGGTACCTATATTGAATAATATACAGTGTTTTCAGTGCATTCCGACGTTTAATCTATCATATTTTTTGTGTCTAAAATATTATTGTTGACAACGTGCATATCGATACGATACGATAATCACTGATGGACAAGTTCTTTTTAAAAACTAAGTGCCCAGTTAGGTTCAAATTCCAGTTCAAATTCGTCAAATTTAAATAATAGTTAATTATTTATAAATAAAATTGTTATATAGGTATTTATTTTAAATAACTCTGTTTACTAAATATAATGAATTTAAGTATATACATAACAAATATTTTCATAATATATTTATGAAATAAATACTTGTTTTTGACTTGAGCGCAAGTGTAAATATTTACTCATCAGTAAAGTTGTATAAAATTAAATATTTACTTAACAAAATATTGTTTCACAAGAAATCACCACTAACCAAATTTTAACCATTGGGCAATGGCTAATAAGTAATACGACCTAACTGACAAATTATAATGTTATAATGAAAATGATTAACTGGAATAATTAAACATAGAGTCAAATAATAAACATAATTAGTGATTACTAGAAAAACAATAAATAAAAATGCAATACATGAAATTCAAATTGTCTTTAATCATTCTTTACTGAGAGCAGAGGTAGCTAAAACGAGGGTCAACATGGTCAGATGGGGATATAGTGGAAAAATACGTTCTCTGTGTCTGCGGTGAAAACCACACAGACGACCACCTACTACGGTGCAGAATGGTTTCAGTGGAATGCACAAATAACGATTTGGCTATAGCCAATGACCAAACAGTAGATGTAGCAATCTACTGGTTCACACATAAGATTTGACTGTCGCAATATAATCAGCACTGGACACGAGATAGAGAAGAAGGACTTTCTTTACTATAGAATGGTCTATAAGACGTTTACTGATCAACAAGCGACCGTAAAAACGTTCGTAAAAAATAAGAAAACTGACGCGTTCATGATCCATTTCATACAAAACGAACATGTTCAAATGTACATTTCTATCACTGATAATAACACTATCACGATCGTAAAGGAATAACTCAAGATCGGTGTATTTTATTGTTGTATAATATTATATTACGCAACAATTATAGGTATTCTCCGTCCGTAAAGAGATTATATTTTTTACGACAACGGCATCCTTGAAAATAATAATATAATAACTTAATCGTTTTCTTCTTTTTTTTTTTTTTTTTTTTTTTTTTTTTTTATTGCGCGATAGCAACAAATAAATCGCTGTGATACGGATAGGTATATTTTTCTTTGGGTATATCGTTTTTGTCCTTATTGGTTTACTGGAATAACGCTGAGTGTATACTATACAATATACGTACCTATATACGAGTATGTAGGTAGTATACCTGTTGGTATAAATGTAAAATATGAGCACGGCGATCAATCATACGTTATCGTTTCACGAAAGCTTTTATTAATTATCATATTATTATTCGTTTGACGAAAGAATATGTCTTGTACGTATACATATTACAATATAATGCACAATATTATGCGATCTTTGTTGTCCCGTTTGCGGACGCATAGCATAGGTACTTGCTACGTATATTTCAAAATGTAATAATAACACTAGAGTTCGAGACAACTGCATCCTTTGTTTATTATAATGCATACACCTAGGTACACCTATGTGTAACAATACGACGGCAATGCATTTTTTATGTATACGTACGAGAGGAAAGTCGGAAAACCGAGACTGAAATAATATATTCGCCCGCCATTATGGCGACACTATGCACGGAAATCGCAGGTCTCGAAGTAAATTTGGAAAAAAATAGATCGCTGGAATTAGGCCGTCGGGAGTGGACGGACGGAGAGATATGGTTCAAGGCGGCGATATGACGTTGGCGATGAAAGTTCACAGAGAGTTGTAGAGGCCGAAAGAAGAACTCTGCATTTTGTTTACACAATGCATAAAGAATTGACGTACAATTTTTTTCTTGCAAATTATCGTGAAGAAGATACATTATATGGGGGGGGNGGGGGGGGGGGGGGGAAGTTCACTAAGCATTATATGCCACTTTCGTTTTGTTAATGACACTTTTTTTCTCGGTTTTCTTCAATTCGGTCAAAATATCCGGAAAAATCTATGATTTTTAGCGTCTTTGAAAATCATTTGATCATCAAATATGGGTCATTCTATATCAACTATTAATGTAAACAACATTATTAATTAATTAATTGCACAAATTTATTAGATAATTAATTATTATTAAAGTTTACGATAGGTAATTAATTGTAATTAATTGTATGCTATATTTTAATAACATATATTTACTACATCAACCGAAAACCGGGTGACAACATGTGGTTAAATAAATTTGATTTATCAAGAGTAACAATTTTGTAATTATTTTTTTTTTCCATAGTCGCAATTCGGTTTCATTCAATGTGTGATATATATTAAATTATTTGTCAATCAATGTCACCAAATTAAAAAAATGTCTCTCACGTAAATAATGTATAATTTTATAATTTTTATATTATAACCGGAAGTTCATTACGCACAGCATCTAAATAATTTTAAATGCTAACGATCGAAAAGAATAGTAATTATAGACTGTTTATCTTTAATTTCTGATATTTCTGTATAGATCAATTTTCATGTCAATAATGGATTTACGCGAGAGACATTTTTTAATTGGTCACATTGATCCACAAATAATTCAGTATAGCAAAATATATAAATAACACCTATAGGTACTAATTATTTATTGTGATTCAAGATATTTGAACATTCGGTATCGTACAATTCGATCATTGCGTGTGCTGGATTACAGCAATAGGATTTCGAAGAAACGTTACAAATATTCTGTTAAAAAATAATACAACTGCAAAATAGAATATTATCGTATTATTGCTTATGATCGCCACTCGTATTTTGATCGTTGCCTGCGCGTATATTTCGGACAATTATTATCGTTACTTTAATAATTAGCGATGCTGACTGCTGATATGATTGTAATGATGCACGATGACGATGACCGCGAGACGAATTTTCAAAGTATTTTCCAAGTTAAACCTAACCGTATGTAGTGGTGACTAGCTTAATTTTATAAATTATTCGATATAATAACAGTATAATACGGCGTTTCCGGGGTACGCAGACCCCTAGGAGTCCGCGAGAAGGTATTAGCGGGTTCGCGGAACAGAAAAGGCGTAAAAAGGCGGAAAAAGTGAAATTTGTTGTATTTAATCGAAACGGTTTATTATTTGTGAAATATTGAAAATATCGTAAATCGATTTTCCGCACTATACAGTATAGGTGTACCACAGGCATATAATAAGCGTACAATAATATATCAATATAGGCGGCGGCACGTGTTCGCTAGATTTTCTTTAATCTGATTGCGTAGCGCGGCTCGTAGCGTACGTATGGCAGTGGTGAGAGGCCGAGGGAATGAAAGTCGAGAAACGCTGGTATAACTGACGGTATCGAAGCATAGATAAACAAAAAAAAAAAAAAGGGCTGCGGAATTCGCGGCGTTATAATATTTTAATGTGAACGGAAAACAGTGTGCGAAACATTGCACACGCACAAACATCGATAACAAAAACAAATCGCATTGTAAATAAATTGAATATACGCGAGATACGATACAATTAGGAATGCGTGACCGCCGGAAACGGTAACTTTCCGGGAAAACGTGGAGTTTTGACGTCGGGGCACCGAGGGGCGACGGCCGCCGGATAAACGTGCAGGTCGATGCCGGTGTACCGACGTAGATGAAATAAATCGTATGCGTCGGTTTTTTATATGTATATATATATATATATATATATATATATATATATATGCATACTTTTTTAATACGTCAATAGTTGCTGTGGCATTCAAAGTGAGTATACACCCGCCTACCCACATGAAATCGGAATGTAATTACTAATTAGTGTGGCAATAGGTTTGGACTGACGATGCGATTTTCCTTATAGTCCTATTGTCAAAGAACTAGAAAATGTCCGTTCTTCCTCGTTCGTTTTGATGGGTGCCTACCAAGAACGGACACGTGTAGATATATATCTATATGTTTTCACAACGCGATGTAGTTTCTACAAAACGACGCATAACTCGTGAAATTGCGCGGAAAAGTTTTGTCAACAAATTTTAAATAAAAAACCGTACCGTAATCAATGCAACTCCGGAATACTATTATAATTGCCAATTATTTTTCAAGACACTCTATATTAGTATTAATTAATCGAAGTTGGCGCGCTGAATTGCTGACGATCAAAAACAAATTGCGAAACGACATAATATTTATAATCGTTAAAAACTACAGTAATCAGAATATTATTAAGAAAACAAACACGTTGAGTCGTAATCACGGTGGTAAAAATATGCATTGAAATATGATCTAGGTACAATATAATGTATTCGAACGCATTAATTATTGCACTCGGAATGCATTCTGAACGGTTAGAATTCCTTCTGACATAGCCAGTTTTAACGGAAATATTGAAAATATGAAAACTCAAATTAACTTGCAAATAAATTTAAAAATGGTTATATTATTATCACCTACAATCTTAATAATAATTTATTATGTAATCGGGAAATTAGTTAAGAAGCACATTAGGCATATGCATTACTGGGCCTCTGTACTAGGGGAGGCTAGAGCCCCAGCTTTTTTTCTCTCATAATGTTTTCGAACAAATTCCTAAAATTTTTGAAAAAGACTAGAGCAGTTTTACTGACCGAAAAAGTGTTTTGTGAGAATAAAAAACTATACCATACAGTTGAACTTCTTTGCTACACTCAAAATCTAAAAATAAATAAATTTACTAGCTTAGTGGGGCAGGGGTAGGAATTGTACACGAACAAACATTAAAAAATAGTGATATCTTTGAAATTGATTATTATATTAAATAAGCTGTTGTATACAATGACATTTTAACTTTGATCTCGGATTATGCACATAGTCATACGTACGTCTGAAATATTCGAAAGATTATAATAAAAACGTGTTTTGAAACAGTTGATAAGTTATTCAATTTCATGTCAATTATGAAACTGCTGCAACAATAGAAACAATATATTATGACAAACGGATATTTTATTAAAAACGTTATGGACAAACGGTATTGTGTAATCAGACGAATATTATGGGCTGTTTAAGTACCTAATAATCTTGAACCCGGCGTGTTTAAAAGCCTTAATACGCCTTAAAAGAGGAAAAAAACCGAATTAATGTCGTTGTAATGTTTGTTTTATTCCGTTGTCTCGTATTAATATTTTATAGGGTCATCGACGACTATAATGTGATAGCATAACCTTGGACGGTCCTAATAAACAGATTGGTTGAAATGAATTTTGATATAATTTGTCTGTATGTATACATATGGATATATTTTAGATTCGGAGCGTAGTGAGGGATCAATTGGTTTTACTAAGATGAATATGATTTTTTTTTGTATCATTAAACAACTTTTCTATCAGTTATATAGCTCTAAAATATAGAATATAGTAGCTTTTCTGAAAAGTACTTTTGTCTAGTTGATGAATTGAATAGATCATTTTTTCACTTTTCAAAGGGTTTACAAAATGATCCGAAAGAAAATTATAAGTAAAACGGAATACATGCCTTACCGAACTTTGTTCCTAATCGTTTTTTGTTAGCAACGGTTTATCGTTGCTTAAAGACATGTGCGTTTACAAACATTTTTTTTTTTTTTTTTGTTGGGGGGAAAGTTAAGGTGTCTATAACACTATTCCTAAACTTTTTTACTTTTTTCCTATACTACTTTATCTATACTATCTCGGATTTCCCAGTTATAATAAATAACGCTCAGAAAATCAAATAAAAAAAAAAAAAAAATGGGTTCCTCAATGTACCAACTAGATTCAAAATTCTATAAAAAGGTCTCATGTTATTTCTTGATTAGAACAAACATTTCTGATAGTAAAGTCACTCCGCCTAGTATCTAAAAAAACGCAAACACCATAGTAAAACCAATAAATTGAAATATGTAAATATTCGTTTAAAAGCCGTTGTTAACGTTGTTACGTTGAAATATTGCCTATTATAATTATAATAATAATATAAAGAAGCCACCGGGATATGTTGCTAATAATTCAGAAAAAATATAATCGTATTTATTTAAATGGTACGCACATGTTGTGTTTGCATGTTTACTTTTAAACTGTTCATTAAACGGCAAATACTTATTATTTACTTTGCGTGATTAATGGTTTTTTTTTTTTTTTTTTTTTTTTGTACGGAATATAATAATTCGAAACCCGCGTGAAAAAATTATTATCAATCCAATAATACTCAGTATTTTTTCATGATATAACGCGTTCATTGTTTTGCGTCTACATTTTGTCAATGTCCGCAAAGATTATACAGAAACCATTCAACTTCGATTTACCAAGATTCATCTACGACCGGCGTGGCCGCCATTGATTTAGTAACATTATATCTGGAGTCGCAAGTTTTACAATGAAATTTAATTATTTAACCGTTCATTTAGTAAGTCTTATTTTGCTATCTATGTGTCCTTCATATGAGGGATCACGAGGAGCTGTTCCAGATAGAAGTGATTTGACTTGTGCGCCCGGTCAATCAAAATGCGTAATGGACGGATTTACACCGAATCCGTGTTTGATTTGTTTTAATGAATGTCCGGCTGGGACCGTCAAAGCTAATCCGAATACCAAATACCCTTGTCCTAATAGCCAACCTTGTCATGACACCGATATACACAGTGTATGTTGTGAACCTCCAGGACAATGTGTGTAATAAACGATATGAAATGGCGAATATATAATACACCAATAGCAGATAATTCGATTAAAATAATATAATCCTTGGCAAACTTTCTTCTCAGAACCTGAGAATAATAAATTGTGGCGTTGCGTTCAATAACTTCTGAATACCCCGAAACTGATTATCAATTCAAACGAGACGTTTTCATTGTTTAATCGCATAATAATTTTTTCGCTTCAATTTGGAAATTATTTTTCGCTGTTTCATGTAAACTATAAACCTATACTTTTTTTTTTATTTATTTATATACTCCTATTGCTCATGTAGACAACTTTTTCTGTATTGGGCGACTAGGGTAATTTGCTTCTATTTTTCAACCGGGTACTCGGACTTTTTGAGTGCATCGGTATTAGTTCCGGTACCAGTTCTCCAAAAATAAAATAACTGTTCCGGTTCGGTTTCGATTTTTCGTTTAAAAAATAAAATAAAATAAAGGTATCGGTTCCACACAATTTTGGTGCCGGTTTCACCATCAAAAGTTGGCCCACCGACTTCACACAATCCGTTCAAAATGTATGCCAAAATGTTGTTGAGTAAATTGCTGGAATTTGCGAGTTCATTCCCGGAATTTGGTGGTCATTACTTTCCCTCCATTTTAAGGGTGGGCTACATGAATTTGGCCCACCCACCTTATCAAAAATGGTATCAAAATGTTTGTTTCAATTTGCTAGAATTTAATCTAACCTAACCTAATGTTTTTTTTACAAAAATAATATGAAATACTCGCCTAAAGTAATATTTTAACGAACAGCATTCTTGTAAGTATAAATAATATAAATCATAAAATCTGTGATTTTCTTTATTCGTTATACCTTTTTTAAATGTTTTTAATTCTAAAATACCTATGCTACTAGACAGTTTCGTATTATTTTTTAATGGTTCAATACATACAACATCTATTTATAGAGTGCAATAGAAAGACCTGACCAATCTATATACATTTCTTATTTTAATCTGTCAAGTCTTTCTGTAACACCCTGAATATTAAATATCATACCTTATTATTTCGTTTTATAATTTACAAAAGAGATATTTTTAACCAGGAACTTGTTTGCAACTTTAATTGATCACTGTGATATTGGAGTATAATTATTGTCAAACAAACATTTATATGATTTTTTAATAAAATTCCTTCTCAAATTGTCAATTTCAAAATATTCCGATTACTTCATACAATCGTCAATTAGCTAAAACTCTGACTAGACACCTTTTTCCTTATAGCATTAACCGTCAGTATCACTCCCTTAAAATAAATTACGGTAAAAATAATACTATTATTCAAATACTTTACAAGTTGTCGATTAAAACTTCGTTGATATAACTACTCATCAACCTGTAAAACGATATAGCTTAACTAGATGATAAGTAGCATTTTTCAGATGAAGTTCTTAACTATAAGAATATATTTCGTCGCTAAGAAATTCACCAAAAAAAAAAAATAAAAATAAAAAAAATAGAGACATTTTCTGATGACGTTCTTACATTAATAATAATTTTAAGTAACAACAACAAATATGATACAATCAATAATTCATTTTCTAAAATAAATATAAGTATTTAAACCAAAACTAATATTTAATAGATATCTGTTTAATTTTGAAATTTTCAATTTTAAAAAACACCATTTTTGATGACAATATGATTTTCGTGCGTTGAAGATGCAACGAGACGCAATAAAAAAATTATATATTCTTATAACTGAGAATTTCCTCTACAAAATATTAGGTAAAGGGTAAACTTGAGTTAATTTTACTGCAGTCTATGATAAAAAAAAAAAAACGTTCGATTTTTTTATGATTCATTTATGATTATGATTTATGATTCACCTATAAGGACTTAAATTTAAAAAAAAAATAATTTTTTTTTTATTATCTTAATATGCCACTTAACAATTAAGTATCTCATTATTTTTCATTTTAAATATTTCAAATAGTCAAAAAAATTAATGAACTATCAACATTTTTAATTTAAAAATAACAGAAAAACCAAATTTGTCTAGTTCACTTAATTAGTTAAAATAGCAATTAATTAACTTGTTAGTAGCAAATTAACAAGGTTTTATACAAGGTGCTTCTGCTTAGCACCTGTGTGCTCCACAGTGCCCGAAAATTCAGAAATATCCTCGCATCGTTGGCGTACGAGATAGATCATTTTAAAAGAAGCAGTACACCAACTCTGGATGGACTCGCTTTGATTTGGCCTCATCCCAGAGATAAGGCTATCGCTAGGTGGAAGAGAAGGTTTTGCTAGGAGATAACAGGGAATTGGACTCTCGCGATGATTGGAGACATATCGAAATGGGTAAACAGGACCCATGGATCCTTGTTTTTTCGGCTGACATAATATCTCTCGAGGCATGGTTGTTTTAACCAATTTCTATTCAAAATTGGCTAAGCACCAGCTCCTAGGTGTTTTCATTACGGGATAGAGGATCTATGTGGTATTTGATGACAAAAGATAAAATCTAGTGCGGAAGATTGGGATATTTGAGCTAATTGATCTAGTTCCACATATGCTGGAGTTCCTAAAGCATGGATATAGCAGTGACCGATTTAGATGGTGAGGAGAACCTGGACCGGCGGATCATTATCGGACCGGGAAAAGGACTAGCAGAACGGTTTTTCAGGCCAGCGGATGCTGTGCAGTGGGCCAAGAAAAATGGTCAGAATGAATGTATAATTTTTCTGTAGGTTGTTATTGTTATAACTATTTCATTTTTTTTATATAAATACTATATATTTTTATAAAACTTGTAATTGTTTTTTTTTTTTTTTATAATGGAAAAAAAAAACGATTGTGGTCCACGTTTTCCGAACCAATACCTTTCGAGGGATAGGCAATATTGCTAATTTTTTAAAAAAAAAGGTATAAGATTATATAGGAGTATCTAGTTTGATTCCCAATTGAACGATAAAATAGTTATTTTTTTTTTATCAAATTATTTTTAAAAACATAGTTCAAATGTTGGTGAAATTGACATACATTTAACATGTAACATAATTTGATTCAAACAACATTTTTAATGTATTTTATAATTGTATGCAGCAGTTAGTTGCGTAGCAAGGATAATTCTTAGGAGCCATTTCCCTAGTCATTATCATTTTTTTTACACAGAGGTGGTTTAACTATACGGTCCTGAATTGGTTTAGCATGCTAATGCTGACGTTTTATTTTAGGTTTTGGTTCGTGTACAGCTACACAAATTTGTATTCATAATGTATAATTTATCATGCAGTTGAGCTAGTGGAAAAGAAATAAAGATTTACGTAGTTTTTTTTAGATCCGTTTAAGGTTTAACTTTCGACGGAAATCATAAAAATAACGTATCATTTTGCGTAATATTTTTCGATTTATGTGAATATAACTTTTGGCCAAGCAAAAATGATAAACACAAAGTTTAGCAGAAGTTGCATTTGATGCTAAAGAAAAGTCAAACATGATTTAGTAATTTTTTTTTATTAGTATTTTAAGTTCAAATTATGAAAAAAGTCGTAAAAAATTACGGTATTTCAAAACACGTTTACCCGAACTTCGCCATAATATCATATTTCGTCAACAATAATGATTTATCGTTGCGTACAGATATAAATTAAATAACATTAACCTTCACAATTTTCCAGCTATAACAGTGGCACACCCATCAACAGTATTACCTCATTTTATAGTCAACAATTTTAAAGAAAGTTCACTACTAAAATTATTAACAAGACAATCGGGTGTATTATTTTAATTATTAATTATTATATTCGTAAGAAACCGTATAGAAATTAGACGATTAGACTTATTTTTCAATAATATAAGGCTAAAATTCACATGGTAGGAATAATTATAAGTTATTTAATTTATTATTGATAATAATGTTACTATCGGTCGTACTGTCGTCAACTGGAATATTGGATAATTCATTGGGTTTGTTTCATACTTACTAATTTATTTTACACACAACAGAAAAAAAATTCAAAATTATCGGAAGGAAAGGTTTTTTGTAGAATCAAATCGAATAATTGCAGCGTTACTTAGTTCTGCAACAAACTTCTAACATCACTTTTAAATACAATTTAACACATTGTGTAAAAAGATAAGGTAAAATATTTAACCTATCGTTCCATTCTTAATCATATTTAAAACAATTTGTTATCAATCCTGTTGTAGATATTTATTAATATTATCATCATTGTTAATCAAATCTATTGTTTTTTTTTTATTATTATTATTTAATTGGAATTCGAAATAATTATCATTACTATAGATAATTATAGGTAGCATTATAATTTTAAAAAAGAACCGATACTGTTGACGAGTGCAACGCTGTTGTTAGGTAGGAAGTTGTGAAGGTAGGATACATATAGTTTTTTTATTTATATGTACAGAAACAATACGACGATAAATCATAGCAGAAAAACAAAATCGAAAGTAACCGATGTCACGTATAATTTATCATGGTACCTACTTTTAGGGAATCAAGGTAATCCGAGTAAACTTAGTAACGAGATCACACCTCAATGGGAGTGATGTTATCGAAAATACCGACCGTGCTAATGATATTCGTTGTTTCCGAAAAGGATTAAGTCGGTTACTTTACGTCATAACAGTGTGATGCACACACGGTGCAAATGATTGGGAGTTATTTGATGACCTCAACCAAAAATTTAAAACTTGTCACAGTAGACAAGACACGAAATTTTCTTATCAGAAATTCGAATAATTTTACAATGAATTTTTCAACTGCGGAACGACAGAATAAAAATCGAGTTATTTATTATTTTGATCATCCAATAATTTTTAAACTCTTTGTGGGTGCCTATAAATACCTATAAAAACATTGAACCTTAAAATATAACAACTATAATAAACAAAATAAAATCTAATTTTTAAATTGTCAATTATTATTTTTAAAGCGAAACTTATTTTCTAGTGTTAATATATAATATACGGAAAATGTACAATTGTAATTTAAAATTGTATTAAAGTAAACTTACAATTTCCGAAATCAATAATTATTAATAATCCGTAAACGTTGTATAATTCTTGAAATTTAGATTAAAATGTCTTGCATAAAACTTTTTTTTTTATAAATTTTAACGACTAACCTTTTAAAGTTTAAAAAAAAAAAAATTAAAAAAACTGTACACAATAATGATAAAAATATTTTATCCAAATATTTAGAAAAAAAAAAATCACATACGGGCCTTGGACATTTTTTTAAACTGTTGTGCCGCAATGTTCTTACAAGTCAGCCACAACTATAAAATATATATACATGTAATTATAATTTAAAGAATATATGTTTTTCAAAAAGTAGTTACGTTGAATCATAAAAAAATATGCAAGACATAAAAAACGAAACATCGTTAGATATATAAAAAAAAAAATTTAATATATAAGAGCAAAACATTTTAAAACGTTTTTTTTTCTCTTGTATGTTTAAGTATTTTAAAATAATTGCACCTCGTATAGATTATTATACCATTTATGACTCGAGAACATATTATTAAATGTACCTACTTAATTATCGTTTCATTATAAAAATATTAAAATCGGACGTGGATAGTTTTATTATATCGTGAGAAAATTTGACGTATCTGCATAATTAACGTCAATAATTACTTTGGAAATTAAAAAAAAAAAGCCAATACTGCTGACGATGAGCTTCCTACTATTATAAATGAAAAAGAAGGTAGACAAACTATTATCAACGAAAAATGAGTAATATCAGTAATTTTTGTTCCCCTATAACAACAAAAATTTGCTAGTTTTCCAATTTATTAGGAAAATTACAAGGGAAAAAATGACCTTCAATCAATACACTTCAATCAAAAATTCTATAAGAAAGTTCCTATAATGTCTTTGAATGGAGTGAGATTTATGATAGATGTTTACATCAGATACCAGATACAACAAATGAAAAAAAAAGAAAAAAAGAAAGATGGACATACTTCGAACGATGATTGGGACATTATTAATTTTTATTAAAAACTTATCCAATAGGTACTTAATTTCTACATTTTATTAAAAAACAACAAATAACAAATACCTGACCGGTAGAATGATAGGTAAATCAAATTTGTTAAAAACGCCAAGAATTACAATTTAATCAATGAAGTCAAAAAAAAAAAAAAAAAAAAAAAAAAAATTCAAGTTATAAACGCGTATGATATAAATAGTTAAATGTCTTCTTCGGTAGAAATTAAAATCTGCAAATGAATAAATCGAATTATTATCCTATTAATTATTATATATTTCTATATAATAGAAAAGTTTACGTTTATCCGTTGCTCATGTTTTTCGTCACACATCGTTTTCGGCAAGAGAAAAAAACATGTTCGTTTCTAAACGCTACAGAAAAAATACTAATGCACCAACAAAAACCCAATTTTGTACTGGCATAATAGACACTTCCAGCTAACCAGTGCTGTATTCGGTTTTTCCCTAACCTTTTTGGGACGCTCTCTGCGCGCGCAGTCTCGTTATTTAACAGCCAAACCTCGTACATATCTAACGTTTCAACATAACGATAACGACGGCGTTCTCGTTCGTGTCGCGAGAATTATTTTATCGCGCGCATACGCGTCTATTTCCCTGCCGTAATGTGTTCACTACCCGTACACCCGACGAACCGATTGTTACCGGCAAGTAGGGTTCGGTTTGTATACGAATATTATTATTAATATTTAATGGTAAACGCGGTGTACAAATAACGGCGTGCTGCAGTGTAAAGCGTACAACAGCAGTATGTAAAAAATAACGCCGGGCGCGCTTATATTGGAACATAGACGTCGGCGTGCACAACGACCGTCGTACATTTTAGATTCCGAGCGGGGCGAGGAACCCTATCGGTTTTGCAATTATGTACGTTTTATTTTTTTTTCATACCGCGTACGAAAATTCTACCCGAAATTTTATCTCGACGTGTCAAGTGTAGCGCATTTTCTGAAGTGGAATTTTATCTGGACGGTACTCGAGGGAGGTCATGTTCCGATATTCCAAGCGGTTTTCATGATATTTGCGAGAAACCGGGAAACGACGTGGGAAAACCGGGAACATGTACGAAAATAATACTTTCATTATTTTCAATTTTATGTTTTGGTTGTAATTTAGTTCAAAATATTCTTGACGCTTTCCCAGATAACTTATGTTTGTCTTTTAGACGTTTGATTGTTCAAATCATTTGAACCGTTTTTGAGCTATTTATGTATAGGTTTTTTAGTTTTGCGAGTTTTTTTACGTAATTCATATTCGTTAGCTATACTCTACGGATAAAAATGTTATACTAAACAGAAATGCTTGAAAGTTAAATAGGGTATTCATTTTAAGCTGTACTTTGATGAAAAAAAATGAGTGCAATGTAGTTTTTTTCTTTATAAGAATTTTAGTATCACATTTTGACGAAATCCGTAAATATAACGGACTTTAAAAACATTTATAACCGAGCTCCGTTCAGAATGGTTGCGTATATAACAACACATTAAATTCCCGTACCTTCCCAACTTCTCACCAACAACAGTGGCCCACCCATCGTACAAAGTATGTTTGTCTTTTTTATTAATACATTTATTCGCTAATCACAGAACGTGGTTATATTCATATTTTTAGTTTTATTTTTTTTAAAGCTTTTACCGATAAAACTATATAATTTAGTTTGCTACAGATTAAAATTCTTGAATTTGATCGTAATCCGACATCCATCATCGAGGGCTGCGATTTATTCCCCTATTCCAAAAAAAAAAAAAAATGAAAAAAAAAAAAATATTAATTATGTGTTTGGGACGAAGTCCAACTATAACCGGTTTTTAGTATTATCGTACGATCTTAATTAAAAATAAAAATTATACAGTTATTTTAATTTTAAAGTTATTTCAACAATGTATCTTTTCTTTTCTGTTTCGATAAACACGCATTTAGGTGATAATGTTCAAAATGTTTAGTGCTTTAGGTAGGGTAGGGTGAGGTATCATTAAAGTTTCCCTCAATAGTCTTATAATATTGGCTACATTATAAGCTTATGATAAATCAAAGCTAAGAAGTTTGGCACTGGGGAGACAACTATTAGCTGTACGTACTGATAAATCATTTCTAACGGAAAACGTTCCTTACCAAACTTCTATAAAATATGCTTATTGTTTCGAAATGTCGAAATTTGTAGCTTAAATTTTATTTTTACCAGTAAGTACAACTTATGATAAACTTCGTGTTTAATTTCTAAACATTTTAACTAGGCCAAAACAAATTTATCACCGATAAATCAAATAAACGCTAAAAAAATCTCAACTTCTTCAAGTGCCTATAAATAATAGATCATAAATCATCAGAATGTTTCAAATTGTACTATACGTTCTAGAAAGTCTTGCTTAAGTCCTAACCTACCCAATATAAGTTGACTGTGAATTTTAAAGTTCCAGAAGTAGATATAATCGATATATTATTTGACATAATTTGTTTTCTTGTCAATCATTAATAGTAAATTTAATTATTTCGCCCCCCCCCCTTTAGCCAAGATCTGGAGACGCCCCTGGTATAAAAATCTACACGTCGAGACGATTTAACTTTGGCTCGCGTCCGTGCGTCAACTGGCGTTCGAATCGCGTAGTGTAAAATCAGCCTAAGGTCGACATAGCATTCAATAATATCGTTATAAACATCGAGAGAATAGCAAACGGGGTCAATTTGCGGAGTCGATTGCGATGGTGTTTGTATTAGAAACTTAATATAATATTGTAACAATATTAATAAAACGTCCGATTGTAAATACGTATCCGATTGTCGTCTGGGTAAATTATATGATGTTCAACTCTAACGGCATCGAGTCAAAGCCCCGAAACTCGTTCGAGTAAACGAATCGCTAAAAAAAAAAAAGGAAACGAATTTCGCAATAGGAGAAGGGAGGAGGGTGGGAGGTTAACATGAAAATATTTTCGTACTCGTATATAATACATACGAAATAAAAAATAACCGAAAACCTTTTTATGTTTTATTTCGAAACGGCCGCAATAAATATTCTATATACAAACTCCCTCCTGTTGTATAGCGTTCCTGCGGGATTAATTAAATTAAAGGTGTTCTCATATTATACGGTAAAACTTAATACAAAAAAAAATTAACGGAGACTCGATTCGACCCCTCCCCCTCCCCAATTTTAGCATTGGTTTCACGTGAATAATCATAAAACATAATTTTTGCGTATATAATGTAATTATGAGAATATTTACGAGAACCCCTATTTTGTAATCGTTTTTTTTTCCCTCGATGCATATAAATGTTTTAACCGTTACGCTCTCGTAAAATACGATATTATACCATTAACGTTACTGCAAATTTGTGATTGTGTATCGTTTCTTGCATATAATAGAAAAATACAATGTTTAAACGATTTTAAACTATGCAGACTTAGAAGTGTAAAAAATGTATTTTGTAATTACTATAAGCCATCGTCTGATTACTGATTAAACACCATGTAATTGTTTACATATTATGTAAATTTGAAAATGAAATATAAATACAAACAAATTATTATATTATTTAAATGTCACCGAAACTCAGTAGTCTACAAAATAAATTTGTTTAAATTGATTAGTCGTAGTTTAAATTGTTTAAAAGATTTATTTTCCTATTCATGTTATGTAAAATTGCTCAAAAT